CTTCCTTCCTTCCTTCCTTCCTTCCTTCCTTTCTTTCTATGTAAGATATAAATACAATATTAAATGGGACAGTCAAGAAGTAATGGGAGAAAGGAGGGAAAGAGGGAAGGAATGAAGGAGTGAAAGGGGGAAGGAAGAAAGGAGAGAAGGAGGGGGGAAAGGAAGGAAGGAAAGAAAGGTAGAGAAAGAAGGAAGGAGAGAAGGAAATAAAAACAACCTAAAAAAACCTAACAACCTAATGTATGTCCTTCACTCAGAAAAAATGATTTTGTCATTTGGAAGTTGTAGTTGCTGGGATTTATAGTTCACCCACAATCAAAGAGCATTCTGAACCCCACCAACGATGGAATTTAACCAAATTTGGCACGCAGTTCTCCCATGACCAACAGAAAATACTAGAAGGGTTTGGTGGGCAGTGTCCTTTGGTTTCGGAGTTGTAGTTCACCTACATCCAGAGATCACTCTGGACTCAAACAATGATGAATCTGAAACTCTACACGAATACTCCATATGCCCAAATGTGAACACTGGTGGAGTTTGGGGAAAATAGAATCTTGACATTTGCGAGTTGTAGTTGCTGGGATTTATAGTTCACATACAATCACAGAGCATTCTGAACCCCATCAACAACAGGTCCTGCCTCGGAGCCTGGGATACCTGGCTCACGCCTACCGAGCCGGGCAACCCAGGTCTGTTGAAGTCAGAGCTGAATCATTTGAAGATACTGCAAATCCAATCATCCATTGTCCAACCTCTCCAAAACATTGTTTTTGGGAGTAATCACTATGCTTTAATTATGTTCAATTTGTAACAATGAAAATACGTTTACATTATGATTCATAACAGTAGCAAAATTACAGTTATAAAGTAGCAACGAAAATAATTTTATGGTTGGGGGTCACCACAACATGAGGAACTGTATTTAGGAGTCACAGCATTAGAAAGGTTGAGAACCACTGTTTTAGAACTTGATGCACAATGCTCTGTGTCTCCCGGTCCCAGTTCGGAGGGGAAAGTGGGGCATCAATACTGCAGGACAATTCCCTTGTTTTCCTCTTTGAAGGCTCTTTGTCCTACTACGAACCTGGAAGTCTTGAGTGTGCCGCAAGCGCTGGTTTCTCTGTGGCCTCATTTTGGCCACAGGATTCCAGATTGCTGTTGCAGGGACCGCTCAACAAATGTTGTAGAAATTGAATGTTTGCTATATGTATCTTTGCTGGGGTGGGTCGCTTGGAAAAAGGACAGAGACAAACCCGTCGGAGAACAGTTCGGGTCTGGAGCTGAACTTTGGAAACTAAACAAACCGGTTGGACCGCCTTCATGTGTGCGCATGCAACCCTTGCTCAGTGTAGGTGTATCAAATTGCAGTGACCTCTGTATTTTCAAACAGCTATGAGAAAGAAGGCAGCAACTTTTCCTTTTGCTTCCATGGAATATTTTATGAGTTGGAAGAGACCTCATGGGCCATCCAATCCAACCCTATTCTGCCAAGAAGCAGGAATATTGCATTCAAAGCACCTCTGACAGATGGCCATTCAACCTCTGTTTAAAAGCTTCCAAAGAAGGAGCCTCCACCACATTCCGGGGCAGAGTGTTCCACTGCTGAACAGCTCTCACAGTCAGGAAGTTCTTCCTAATGTTCAGATGGAATCTCCTTTCTTGTAGTTTGATAGGAGCATAGTGTCTAGATCTAGGGAAGTTATGCTCCCCATGCTCTATTCTGCCTTGGTTAGACCACACCTGGAACATTGTGTCCAGTTCTGGGCACCACAATTGAAGAGAGAGATTGACAAGCTGGAATGTGTCCAGAGGAAGGCGACTAAAATGATCAAGGGTCTGGAGAACAAGCCCTATGAGGAGCGGCTGAAAGAGCTGGGCATGAGAAAAAATAGGACAAGTGCAAAGAAGCCAGAATTGATGTCCAAAGAACTTCTAACTGTGCTAAGACACAAAAGAGACATGCACAAGAAGTGGAAAAAGGGAGAAATCACCAAAGAAGAATTCAAGCAAATAGCCAACTCCTGTAGGGAAAAGGTCCGCAAGGCTAAAGCACAAAACAGGTTCAGGCTTGCCAAGGACATTAAAAACAATAAAAAGGACTTCTTTTCTTATGTCAGTAGAAAAAGGAAAAACAAGGAGGTGATAGGGCCTCTTCGAGGAGAAGATGGGGCAATGCTGACAGGGGATAGGGAAAAGGCAGAACTACTTAATACCTTCTTTGCCTCGGTCTTCTCACAAAAAGAAAGTCATCTTCAACCTCAGCAAGATGGAGTGGATGAGGGATTAGAGGACATCCAACTCCAAACTGGGAAACAAGTCACCCAGGAATACCTGGCCACTCTAAATGAGTTCACGTCCCCTTTCAGGGCCCGATCAACTACACCCAAGAGTATTGAAGGAACTAGCGAAAGTCATTTCGGAACCATTGGCAATCATCTTTGAGAGTTCTTGGAGAACGGGAGAAGTTCCAGCAGATTGGAGGAGGGCCAATGTGGCCCCAATCTTCAAGAAGGGAAAAAAGGATGACCCAAACAATGACCAATGTCCGGTCAGCCTCACGTCGATACCAGGCAAGATTCTGATAAAGATTGTTAAGGAAGTGGTCTGCAAACACTTAGAAACAAATGCAGTCATCGCTAATAGTCAACATGGATTTATCAAAAACAAGTCATGCCAGACTAATCTGATCTCTTTTTTCGATAGAGTTCCAAGCTGGGTAGATGCGGGGAATGCCGTGGATGGAGCGTACCTGGATTTCAGTAAAGTCTTCGACAAGGTCCCCCATGACCTTCCGGCAATTAAACTAGTCCAATGTGGGCGAGGCAAAACTACGGTGAGGTGGATCTGTAATTGGTTAAATGGACGAACACAGAGGGTGATTCTCCCCAAGGCTTCCTCTTCATCCTGGAAAGAAGTGACGAGCAGAGTGCCATCAGGAGGGTTCCGTTCTGGGCCCGGTCCTGGCCAGGATCTTTATTAATGACTCAGATGAAGGCTTAGAAGGCATGATCATCAAGTTTGCAGACGACACCAAATTGGGAGGGATAGCCAATAGTCCAGAGGACAGGAGCAGAATTCAAAACGATCTTGACAGATTAGAGAGATGGGCCAAAACTAACAAAATGAAGATCAACAGTGACAAATGCAAGATACTCCACTTTGGCAGAAAAAATGAAATGCAAAGATACAGAATGGGGATGCCTGGCTAGAGCAGTACGTGTGAAAAAGATCTTGGAGTCCTCGTGGACAACAAGTTAAACATGAGCCAACAATGTGATGTGGCGGCAAAAAAAGCCAATGGGATTTGGCCTGCATCAATAGGAGCATAGTGTCTAGATCCAGGGAAGTCATGCTACCCTCTATTCTGCTTTGGTTAGACCACACCTGGAATATTGTGTCCAATTCTGGGCACCACAATTCAAGATAGATATTGACTCTAAGCTGGAATGTGTCCAGAGGAGGGCGACTTAAATGATCAAGGGTCTAGAGAACAAGCCCTATGAGGAGCGGCTTAAGGAGCTGGGCATGTTTAGCCTGAAGAAGAGAAGGCTGAGAGGAGATATGATAGCCATGTATAAATATGTGAGAGGAAGCCACAGGGAGGAGGGAGCAAGCTTGTTTTTCTGCTTCCCTGGAGACTAGGACGCAAAACAATGGCTTCAAACTACAAGAGAGAGATTCCATCTGAACATGAGGAAGAACTTCCTGACTGTGAGAGCCGTTCAGCAGTGGAACTCTCTGCCCCGGAGTGTGGTGGAGGCTCCTTCTTTGGAAGCTTTTAAACAGAGGCTGGATGGCCATCTGTCAAGGGTGATTTGAATGCAATATTCCTGCTTCTTGGTAGGGGGTTGGACTGGATGGCCCATGAGGTCTCTTCCAACTCTTTGATTCTATGATTCTATATACAGATGTATTCCTCGTGGACAACAAGTTAAACATGCCAACAATGTGATGTGGCGGCAAAAAAAGCCAATGGGTTTTTGCCCTGCATCAAGAGGAGTCCAATGTCTCGATCTAGGGAAGCCATGCTCCCCATGCTCTATTCTGCCTTGGTTAGAGCACTAATGAAACTGTAGAGGAGAGTCTACTGAACAAGCCAGTACCTGCCATATACCAGTACTGCCACCTGTTGAGGAGTTATCAAGGTGAAGGCATTACTTTTCACTTTAACAACACAACCGTTCTATGCTAAAGCTTCCTGCCAAAACGGAAGTGTAGAGGAGAGTCTACTGAACAAGCCAGTACCTGCCGCATACCAGTACGGCCATCTGTTGAGACATTACGAATGTGGAGGCATTACTTTTCATTCAGCCCTCATATATGTATGTTGGGCTGGGATCCTATACCATTTCTAAGAGGAAGAGAGGGTGGAATATAAAACAAAACAAAGAAATAAATAAATTTCAAACTAAATTGTACTTTAATACTTTTGAATCCTCTGTTATTTGACTAGTAAGTTGGCCTTTTTTCTGCCATTTAGTTTGTATAATTATTATCATATATTCTTTATCCTTAATCATTTTATGTATTGACCCCGCAGCCAACCTTTTCTCTAAATATTTCCTCCATCTTGTCGTCATTCTTTATTTTTTCCTCTATATCTTCTCTGTTTCAGCTTATTGCATAAGCCTAATAATTTTAACCAATTTCTGTTTCTTTTTCCCTTTGTGTAGCCTTTTAAAATCTGTCCTCTGGACCACATACACAGCGGTAGCATCATGTCCAAGAGGCATTCGGACACCTCCTTGGGAGAAAAAGCACTCCTTTTAGAGCACCAGCTGAGCTCAGATTTGCACACCAGCAACGACACTGCCGCCACATTCTCTCATGGAAACTATGGATCCCTGTCCGCGCTGGACAATGCTGTGTTTGCAGCCGCACTGCCAACCGGGCCGCAACGGATCATCCTCAGCACCGAAAGCCCTGCGGCGCTCAAGGTGGGCACCCAGCAGCTCATTCCCAAGAGCCTGGCCGAGGGCACGAAATCCAAAGCCCCCACGCGGCACCAGAGCTTCTCTGCAGCCGTCTTGAGCCAGGAGGCCTCCCGCTATGACCCGAAGCGCATGTCGGCCCCCAGCATTTCCATCGACGACCTGGAAATCGAGGACTCCAGTGAAGGGACGCTGAAGCGCAACCTGCGCAATATGTCTTACCGGGCCGCGATGAAGGGCGTGGGGGACGGAGATGAAACCAAGCCGCCAAAGGCCATCAGCGGTCTAAAGCCTCTGCCGAAAGAAGCCGTTGCCCAAGGTGCTCGTAGTCCTGGAAGAAATAAGGTAAGTCAGAGGGGGTTGGCGCAGTGGTGGTTTATGCCTCCTTACAGGAAGGCAACATTCCAGCCAGCTCAGGAAATCCAAAACACTCTGTGGGAAGGAAGCGCAGAGAAAGTTTCACAAGCCAAAAAGTCAAGGTCAAAGAAATGCCTTCATGTTTTACAGCTCTTAAATTAGAGAGTGTCTTGTTGAAAATTCAGATCAGGCAACACTGTGTAATAGTAAGGCTATCAAGTCCTGTTTTCAGTTCATTTTTTTATTTTAAGTTCTTGGAAGTTTTGATTCATAGAATCATAGAACCATAGAGTTGGAAGAGATCTCATGGGCCATCCAGTCCAACCCCATTTTGCCAAGAAGCAGGAATATTGCATTCAAAGCACCCCTGACAGATGGCCATCCAGCCTCTGTTTAAAAGGGTCTTTCTTTAGAAGCTTGAGATTCCCAGCAACTGAGGCTACTACAGGTTTGAACACCAAAACAATATTTATTTCTCAAAGTCCTTGCAGACTTGGCACAGCTTGTCAAAGTTACAAACAAAACAGTCAATTGGTGAAACCATAGAAATGATCTTTTCCTGTCGTAGTCCCTGTGAATCGCACATGTGGTAACCTCTGCTCCTGCGCAGATAGCTTCGGAACCTTCTGGAAGAAAAACATAGACATTTTGAGCTCAGTCTAGCCCCGCCCACCCCCTCCCTCGAGTATATATAGCCCATGGGCTAGCCAGCAGTTCTCTTGATCCGCCACTTTGGCAGTGGCTTGGGAACCTTCAGCTCGTGAGCTTCGTTTGGACTGCTTATTTTCTTTGTGATTTTCTCAACTTACCTGCCTCCAAGGCGCCTCAACATGGCGGTCCCGCTAAGAAAAAAGTCAAGAAGGTGAAAGACAAGGGCCACCAAGATGGCCACCAGTCTTTTCCATCAGTTCGGAGCCCGGCGAAAAGGGCGGGAAAACAGTCTTCTGGCTTTGCTTCTGCCTCAGCGCAACTCTCTCTCAAACAACAAGGAGAGATAGTGGTCCCCTGCTGCCTCAACAACTAATTGCGCAGGGCGGAGATCCGCTTGTCCCTCGATCTGCGCATGTGCGCGCAGGGGACAGCACCAGGGAGTTGCAACCGGTCTCATCGATGCCTGCTTTGACTCTGCAAAGCAGCCAGAAGGCGAGGCATGACACTCAAGGAGAGGACGGGCGGGTATGTGCGAATTCACAGGTGACTATTCAGGAAACTACGGTTACAGGTAAGCAACCTATAATTCTTTCTTTTTTCTTCAGTTACGGAGATAACTCTTCCCCAAATGGTAGAAAATATCCTGGGATCCTTTCACCCTAACCCTGAGCTGCTATGGTTAGAAAAAACAGGTTTTTTCCCTATCTATAGCTCAAGGTTAGCTTTGGAGATGAAGTACTGCTCAATAATATTCAATAACTTTTCTATATCTCAATTGCTATCTATAACTCAATTGCTATCTATTTCAATTAGCTTCTTTATCTATATAACTCAATCGTACTTACAATGATTTTTTTCAGAGCTACCTAGCTGACCAACAGCACATCTGAAGCTTTCTTTCTCTACTGAAGGAGGCAGGGGAGATTCCAAAATGGAGATCTCAACCCAGGAAAGATACTTTTCTAAACCAATAACTGCAGAGGGCCTGCAGTCTGGCTTTGCAGACTCTGATACTGTTTCACTTCCAGGTCTGGGGAAATGCAAAAGAACACTATCCCATGCAACTAAAAGGTAATGCAAACTATGCTCCTGGAAGACGGAAGACCCGCATTTTGGGCTCTGTCTGGTTGAGGCATTTTTAATGGTACGGAAGATTCAACATCCTTGCCAATTTGCTTCCGCGGTGATACGAGGCACATCCACACCGGAGCGTTAATGCTGCTTGATTCGATAGCATCCCAGGAGTTCTTGTCTGACATGTTTTTGAGCCTTTTCTGCCAAATTGTGTTAGTTCCAAATGACAACTCCGCTGATTCCATAGCATTGAACCCTGGGAGTTCAGGAAACATCCTACAATTTTTTTTTGCAAAGCAAGGATTTGGTTTTCTGTTCGTCTTCCTCTTTAGCTTGGTTCATCATCTATTTTTGACGACTTGCAGATGGCCTTCATTACCATCCATGTTGGCTCGTGCATAATGTTGGAGCAAAGGGCAGTGTGTTTAAAGGCCAAACAAATTAACCCCTTCCATGCCAGGAGCGGAAATCGTACACTTGAGATGTGGCTTATCTTTGTGTCTTAATGGGAATGTGTGGGATTTAAATGAAAAACACTACCAGGGAAATGTGGGGCTATTTGGAAATGTAGGAACACGGCCGGCCCTTTTGGGACACATAGTGCACGCAGCTGGTCTTTCCCAGAAATGTTTAATGAGAGAGGAAGCCAGAGCTGGATATCAGCAAGAGTTCATAACCTAATCCTTGAGAAAAGATGGGCTCCAGCTGCTTTGGATCTGACTTTCCAGAGACTGCTGGCCATTCCTTTTCCCCCGCAAGCCTGGATAATCTCAATTTTCAACGATAGAAAACAATGTCTCTAAAATGCCATTTTCCATGGCTTAAGTGCTGGGAAAGAATTTCACCTTTTCAGATTTTCCACTTTTAGTCGCTTTCAGATTTTTCACTTTTAGTCGCTTTCAGATTTTCCACTTTTAGTCGCTTTCAGATTTTCCACTTTTAGTCGCTTTCAGATTTTCCACTTTTAGTCACTTTCAGATTTTCCACTTTTAGTCACTTTCAGATTTTTCACTTTTAGTCGCTTTCAGATTTTCCACTTTTAGTCGCTTTCAGATTTTCCACTTTTAGTCGCTTTCAGATTTTCCACTTTTAGTCGCTTTCAGATTTTCCACTTTTAGTCACTTTCAGATTTTTCACTTTTAGTCGCTTTCAGATTTTCCACTTTTAGTCGCTTTCAGATTTTCCACTTTTAGTCGCTTTCAGATTTTCCACTTTTAGTCGCTTTCAGATTTTCCACTTTTAGTCACTTTCAGATTTTCCACTTTTAGTCACTTTCAGATTTTTCACTTTTAGTCACTGGGCCAGATCAACTACATCCAAGAGTAATAATAATAATAATAATAATAATAATAATAATAATAATAATAATACTTGATTTGTACTTTATTTGTCTCGGTGCGGCTTACATGAGGCCGAGCCCACAATACAATAAAAACAAGAGCAATAAATAAACTCGTAAACAGAAAATAGCAATAAACATTAACAATAACACAACGATGTTTAAAAAACTATGGCAGGGCCAAATGTACTAATTAAAATTTAAAAAAAATAATGCTGGGCATGGCCAGGTGACATATAAACAAGATAGAAATTTTGGAGAGTGATAGAGCATGTAGACAATCCTAGATCACTAAAAAGTGCATTTAGGGACATATTGCTGGGAGTTTCCTTATTCTGGGAAGGCACACTGGAACAACCACGTTTTCAGGCTCCTCCTAAAGACTGCCAGAGTTGGGGCATGTCTGATGTCCCTGGGGAGTGAGTTCCAGAGTCGAGGGGCCACCACCGAGAAGGCCCTGTCCCTCGTCCCCACCAATCGCGCTTGCGATGGAGGCGGGAGCGCGAGTAGGGCCTCTTCAGATGATCGATGTGGTCATGAGTATTGAGGGAACTAGCGTTAAGGGAGAGGCAGTGGATGGGATGATACAAATTCCACACCAATGGAGAGAGAGTCAGGAACACTGGAGTGCCTATGGTGGAGGAAACACATAAAATCAAAGATGAAATTATCTCCGTATCAAAGCCTTCACTTGGGTGGTGGGCAGTGTGGTGTTTGTGGAGGACACTGGTAGGGCTCTTGGACATGTTCATGGTGCTCACTATAACTTGCAATGTCATTGGAGGGAGGGCCTTTGATGTCTCCTCAGTGGGTTAAACCCCTGTGCCAGCAGGACTGAAGACCGACAGGTCGCAGGTTCGAATCCAGGAAGAGGCGGATGAGCTCCCTCTATCAGCTCCAGCTCTTCATGCGGGGACATGAGTGAAGCCTCCCACAAGGATGATAAAAACATCAAAATTATCCAGGCATCCCCGGGGCAACGTCCTTGCAGACGGCCAATTCTCTCACATCAGAAGCGACTTGCAGTTTCTCAAGTCACTCCTGACACAACAAAAAAAAATGCTGTAGCTGTGGAGGCAGGAATCTGTCTGTGTAAGTGGATACCCCAGCCACCCACACATAATCATTTTCACTTTTATTATGTGTATAGATGATGATGATGATGATGATGATGATGATGATGATGATGATCTTCTATATAAATAAAAATATAATGTTCGTTTGTGGGATTAACAGAACTCAAAAACCACTGGACGAATTGACACCAAATTTGGCAGCAAAACACATTCTAATCCAATCTATGCCTTTCAAACAAAAAAAAACCATAACAAATGAAGGGGAAATAACATAAAACTCCCCAAAAAGAAAAATACCTTTCATAGCATGCGCAAAAAGCCCCTCTCCCCATTGCGCGAGAAGAATGAAGCACCAACTGTTGTGAGGGAAGAGAAGCCTCACCATGGAGTCCCTTTCCATGCAGGAAGGCAGAGTCCTTTTTTTTGGGAAGGGGAGGGATTGAGGAAAGGAAAGAGGGAAGGAAGGAGAAGGTCTGGCCCTTCGGAGGGGTGGGGGCCTGGCGAGGCAAGCCCTGGCAGCAGCTGGAGCCACCGCAGAGGCTCCATGAGGCCCATGTGGCTACCAGGCAACTCTAATAATAATAATAATAATAATAATAATAATAATAATAATAATAATAATCTTTATTTATACTCTGCCACCATCCCCCCAATGGGTTTACATGAGGCCAAGCCCAAGCAACAATTTACAATAAGATGAAACCGAAAACACAAACAATAAACAACAACATAATTACATAAAACATGTGAATACATAGCAATATAAAATTACAATAAGCACAATCACAATGACATTGGGTGGGCTACATGTAATGATTAAAAGAAAAACTATTAAAACTAATTAAAAACTCGGGTGAGATAAAAAAAAGACAGATTAGTGGGGGTTGTGGAATCAGGCTCTTTCCCCAAGACCAGAGGATCTCAAGGCAAGCCTGACTGCCGGAGCGGCTGCACTCCCCCCCCCAAAAAAAACCCCTTTAAAACCCCTTACAAACTGTCCGCAGGAAGGAGGGGAAAGAAAGGGAAAGGAGAGAAGAAAGGAAGAAAAGGATTGGTGAAGAGAAGCTTATGAATGGAAGGAAAAGTAGAAGGAAAGAAAGAGGAAGGAAGGGAAAGGAGGCAGGGATGGGAGAGGAAAGGAAGAGGAAGGGAAGGAACAAAGAAAGAAAGAAAGAGGAAAACTGGTGAAGGGAAGAGAACAATATAGAATCAGAGAGTCCGAGAGTCGGGAGAGATCTGGTGGGCCATCCAGACCAACCCCATTCTGTGAAGAAGCAGGAAAACCACATTCTAAGCACCCCCAACAGATGGTCACCCAGCCTCTGTTTCAGAGAGGCTTTTTTTTAGTGTTTTGGCCAGCATGAATATCACTGAAAAGCCTTGCGGCTTCAGTGGCTGCTTCTCATTACTTTATTTTCCATACCACCTTGCACCTTAACAACCTGGCTTCTACTAGCCAGCAGGAAACCTTTGGTGGAGTAGACCAGATTACTTCATGCCTGCAAATCCTGTTATCTGAAGGCCACAGCAACGCGTGGCCGGGTACAGCTAGTAATAATAATAAATCTTTATTTGTATCCTGCTTTTCTCCCTAAATAAATAATAAGACGAATGCAGTTTGGCACCACTTTTAACTGCCAGGGCTCAATGCTTAGTTTTTAGAGTTTGGAGAGGTGCCGGCACTTTTGGGCAGAGAAGGCAAAAGATTTTGTAAAACTACAACTTCTGTGGTTCCACAGCATTGTTTCGTGTTCTGCTCTTGCAAGGCTTTACAGCTTCGCAAAAGAAATGCTGTGTGTTTACTTTTTTCTTCTCTCCAAGTCTTCAAAAGTAAGTTGTCTGGCCACCCATTGTTGTGACAACGTGACTGGAGCCGGACGCAAAGAGGCTTGGCTCCCTATTAGCCCGGTCAGACCTTTGAAGTCCTCAATGAACTCTGGTCGCTCCAGGGAAAAAAAAGGAATTTGTATCACTCCTCCAGGCAAAATAAGCCATCGTATTTTTGTGTTGTCGAAGACTTTCATGGTTGGATTCACTGGGTTGCTGTGGGGTTTCTAGGCTGTCTGGTCTTGTTCCAGAAGCATTTTCTCCTGACCTTTCGCCCAGATCTATGGTAGACACTCAAAGGTTGTGAGGTCTGTTGGAAACTAGGCAAGTGGGGTGGATATATCTGTGGAATAATGTCCAGGGTGGGAGAAAAAACTGTTGTCTGCTGGAGGAATCCTTTGTTGGGAAGTGTTCGCTGGCCCTGATTGTTTCCTGTCTGGAATTCCCTGTTTTGTGAGTGTTGTGCTTTACTTACTGTCCTGATTTTAGAGGATTTTTAAAATCCTGGTATCCAGATTTTGTTCATTTTCATGATTTCCTCCTTTCTTTTGAAATTGTCCACATGCTTGTGGATTTCAGTGGTTTCTCTGTGACATGGTGGTTGTTAGAGTGGTCCGGCATTTCTGGATGGGTGAACTACAACTCCCAGAAAGGAAGTTCAGTTCCCTTCAAGCCCCTCCAGTAATCAAATTTCAGCATATTGGATCTGTGTGCCAAGTTTGGTCCAGATCCATCGGTGTTTGGGTTCTCAGTGCTCTCTGGTTATAGGTGAACTACGTCTCCCCCAAATCAAGGTGAATTTTCCCCAAAGACCTCTGTTATCTTTTTGCTAGCCATGGGGGCAAGTTTGGTCCAATTCCATCTTTGGTGGAGTTCAGAGTGTTCTTAGATTACAGGTGAACTGTAAGTCAAAATGCATAAAATTGTGGGTGAACTGCAACTCACATCATGCCAGGTTAACCCCAACAACTCCATCAGTACTTAAAGTTTGTTATGTTGGGCAAGTTTGCTATAGATGCATCATCAGTGGGGTTCAGTTGTGCTCACTGGCTGTAAGGTAAACTACAACTCCCACTATGGTGAGTCAGTCCCCTCAAACCCCTCCAGGAGGATGAGTTAGTCATGGGTGTTCTGTGTGCCAAGTGTGGTCCATCATTGGTGGAGGTCACAATTTCTCTGGTTGTGGGTGAACTACAACTCCCAGAAAGGAAGGTCAGTTCCTCCCACCCCCCACAACCCCTGTAATCAAATTTCAAAGTATCAGGTATGCATGTCTGGTTTGGTCCAGATCCATCGGTGTTTGGGTTCACCGTGCTCTCTGGATGTAAGTGAACTACATCTTCCCCAAATCAATGCAACCCCCCCCCCCCCAAAAAAAAAAACCTCCAGTATTTTTTGCTGGCCATTGGGGCTCTGTGTGCCAAGTTTGGTCCAATTCCATCTTTGGTGGAGTTCAGAGTGCTCTTGGATTACAGGTGAACTATAAGTCCCAGTACCTACAACTCCAAAATGTCAAAGCCAATTCCCCTCAAAACCCATCAGTATTCAAATTTTGACATATCGGGTACGCATGCCAAATTTGGTCCGGATCCAGCATTGTTTGGGTTCATAGTACTCTCTGGATGTATGTGAACTACAACTCCTATGAATCCCTCCAAAGACTTTCATAATTTTATTTCTTAGTTATGGGGGTTCTGTGTGCCAAGTCAGTTCCCCATCCATCTGAAGTTGAGCATGCCCCCCCCCCAACAAGGGATGGTAACTTATAGTTCTGCAAAGGACAAGGCTGCACAACAGGGGTTAAGTCTTGGTCAATTTGCCAAGACACTAACAACAATGAGGACCCCACGAGACTTCAGGAATGGCTAGACCTTGGGGTCTCTGCCTCTCTCGAGAGAGCTATAGTTTCCCCAAGGACCAAGGACCTGCCTCGTTCTCAGCTCTGCAGAACTCCATCCTTTGGCTCAGTGGAACTCCATTGATTCTTTGCATGACTTATTGGTTTCTGCTCCTATTCTGGACTTCACTCTCCCCAAGGACTCACTCTTTGCCCATGAACTTTCTTAAAAGAACGACTTATGAATTCATGCTGTGTCCTGATATTGTCTGCGTTTTATAAATGGTATTATTAATTCCTCTCTGGGGTCTTGGATGGGAAGATACCTGCATATGATTTCCCTGTGTATAATTTCTATATGATTTTTATATTTTCTTGTATTCCTGACCCTTTGCCCCCTTCTCCCTCCAAAGAAGTATGTCAGGGAACCACCTGGCCTTCAGAAACAAAAGCCATTAGCGATTACAGAAACCCCCCAACCAAAGACACTCTTGCATGGATAATAGGAAAGGATTCTTATCTCTAGCATCAGAGATGGCCCACTAGAGTAAAGAATTGTTTGGCAAAGTTTCTATCACTCCTCAAGTAAGATAAGGGGAAATCTTCCCCTCTGCTTTTTGTTTACTTCCCATTGATAGCATTAACCCCAGGCTGCCATCATTGTTCTCCTATCTCACAGCCAGGAAGGATCTGGATATTTTTACACATGTTGATTCACAACCCTCAAAACACAATAGGTCAGCCCTGCTTGAGCTTTTTGTCTCGCAGGCCACATGGCATTTCCTTTGTTTAAAGACTCCTTCACAGATTCCTTTGTGTTCTATCGTCCCGCTTCCCTCTCTCCTGATTTGTGTCCTACGGATCACTGGAGCTTCCTGATTGGTCCAGAGGCACCGGGGGCAGGAGGGCCGCTTCTCAGCTGTTTGCTCATCGTCCAATCACAGTGGAGGGCAGCAGGGAGGCCGGGGCGGGAAGTTTGAACTCTGCAATTTTGAATTTACTATAAATATGACTGCATTGGTGTATTCTCCTCGTGCTCTGCTGGCGAATGATTGCAGCTCTGCATCCTTTTCAGCTGAATCGCAAATAAAACCTCGATGGCTTTTCTTCAACTTGGTGAGACCTTTCATTGGGGAATCAGGAAAAATATTGGGTGCTTCTCTTCTCGCCAGGGAAAAGAACTCTTTGATGAATCTAATTGGTCTCTGCCTCCTGGCAAAGACCCCTAAATTTTAGCTCTAGATCACATCTTTGGTGGAGTTCAGAGTGCAGTTAAATAAATAAAATAAAAATAGAGATAAAAATCCTAAAATCAAAAGGTGCTACATGTCAGAATGACCAGACTGCAGGTGAACTTTAAATCCCACTACTTACGATTCCTATAAATCAATGGTGAATTCTCTCCAAACCTCTCTAGTATGTTCAGTTGCTGATCAATTCCTCTGTTTGCTGTGTGCCATAGAAAAAATATAGGAAAGGATTAAGGGAAAGGCAGTGGGCAAGGTCATGCAAATTCCACAGCGATTGAGAGAAGTCAGAAACACTGTGATGTCTGTGGTGGAGGAAACAAAATCTAGGATGGAAGTGTCCCCGTTTGAAAGCCTTCACTTGGGTATTGGACAGGATTATGTTGGCGATACAGAAATTTCCCAAATAAATAAACAGGGCATGCGGGGTCGAGACAGCCGCTCTCTGCTTATGTAAGGCTGCATTCCAAGGGTAGCAATGGACTCCAGCCGTAATCCCCAAATCAAGGGCTTTTCCTGTCTCGCTGGGATTGTCTCGGCTAAACTGGAGATGGAGAGACTAGTCAGGAAAATTCCAACATCTTGAGAAATGTTTGTACCCAAGGAGAGGTCGAGAAATAGTTCTGAGGGATTGTTATGATGGCATCACTGACGGAGTGTATCTCTCCTTCTCTCTAGCGAACCTTTGGCCGGAAACGCATGCCGCATCATAGAGGCTCGTTCAAGGATGGTGAGTGGACATATGAGAGAGAGAAAGAGTTTTTTAAACTGCCAAAATGTGTTGTTGCGAAACATCATGCAACACATTTTGCGATGTTGTTGTTTATTCATAGAATCATAGAGTAGGAAGAGACCTCATGGGCCATCCAGTCCAACCCCCTGCCAAGAAGCAGGAAAATGGCATTCAAAGCACCCCTCGACAGATGGCCATCCAGCCTCTGTTTAAAAGCTTCCAAAGAAGGAGCCTCCACCACACTCCAGGGCAGAGAGTTCCACTGCTGAATGGCTCTCACAGTCAGGAAGTTCTTCCTCATGTTCAGATGGAATCTCCTTTCTTGTAGTTTGAAGCCATTGTTCCATTGCGTCCTAGTCTCCAGGGAAGCAGAAGTCCTCCCTGTGACTTCCTCTCACATATTTATCCATGGCTATCATGTCTCCTCTCAGCCTTCTCTTCTTCAGGCTAAACATGCCCAGCTCTTTAAGCCGCTCCTCATAGGGCTTGTTCTCCAGACCCTTGATCATTTTAGTCGCCCTCCTCTGGACACTCCAATTTGTCAATATCTCTCTTCAATTGTGGTGCCCAGAATTGGACACAATATTCCAGAGGTTGGTCTAACGAAAGCAGAATAGAGCATGGGGAGCATGACTTCCCTGGATCTAGACATAGACTCCTCTTGATGCAGGGCAAAAACCCATTGGCTTTTTTTGCGCCCACATCACATTGTTGGCTCATGTTTAACATGTCCACGAGGACTCCAAGATCTTATTCGCACGTACTGCTCTCAAGCCAGGCATTGTCCCCCATTCTGTATCTTTGCATTTCTTTTTTCTGCCTAAGTGGAGTATCTTGCATTTGTCCCTGTTGAACTTCATTTTGTTAGTTTTGGCCCATCTCTCTAATCTGTCAAGATCGTTTTGAATCCTGCTTCTGTCCTCTGGAGTATTGGCTATCCCTCCCAATTTGGTGTCATCTGCAAACTTGATGATCCTGCCTTCTAACCCTTCATCTAAGTCATTAATGAAGATGTTGAACAGGACCGGGCCCAGGACGGAACCCTGCTGATGGCACTCCGCTCGTCACTTCTTTCCAGGATGAAGAGGAAGCCTTGGGGAGAATCACCCTCTGGGTTCGTCCATTTTACCAATTACAAGTCCACCTCACCGTAGTTTTGCCTCGCCCACATTGGACTAGTTTCCTTGCCAGAAGGTCATGGGGGACCTTGTCAAAGACCTTACTGAAATCCAGGTACGCTCCAACCACGGCATTCCCCGCATCTACCCAGCTTGTAATTCTATCGAAAAAAGAGATCAAATGAGTCTGGCATGACTTGTTTTTGATAAATCCGTGTTGACTATTAGCGATGACCGCATTCGTTTCTAAGTATTTGCAGACAGCTTCCTTAACAATCTTTTACAGAATCTTGCCTGGTTTCGAGGTGAGGCTGACCGGACAGTAATTGTTTGGGTCATCCTTTTTTCCCTTCTTGAACATTGGGACCACATTGGCCCACTTCCAATCTGCTGGAACTTCTCCCGTTCTCCAATAACTCTCAAAGATGATTGCCAATGGTTCCGAAATTACTTCCGCTAGTTCCTTCAATACTCTTGGGTGTAGTTGATCTGGCCCTGGGGACTTGAATTCGTTTAGAGCGGCCAGGTATTTCTGGATGACTTGTTTCCCAATTTGGGGTTGGATGCCCTCTAATCCCTCATCCACTCCATCTTGCTGAGATTGAAGATGACTTTTTTTTGTGAGAAGACCAAGGCAAAGAAGGTATTAAGTAGTTCTGCCTTTTCCCTATCCCCTGTCAGCATTGCCCCATCTTCTCCTTGAAGAGGCCCCTTGTTTTTCCATTTTCTACTGACGTAAGAAAAGAAGCCCCTTTTATTGTTTTTAATGTCCCTGGCAAGCCTGAGCTCGTTTTGTGCTTTAGCCTTGCAGACCTTTTCCCTACAGGAGTTGGCTATTTCTTTTAATTCTTCTTTGGTGATTTTTCCCTTTTTCCACTTCTTGTGCATGTCTCTTTTGTGTCTTAGCACAGTTAGAAGTTCTTTGGACATCCATTCTGGCTTCTTTGCACTTGTCCTATTTTTTCTCTTTGTTGGCATTGTTTGCAATTGCGCCTTGAGTATTTCACTCTTGAAAAACTCCCATCCACCGTAACTCCCTTGTCTTTTAGTATCTTCATCCACAGAATGCTGCTCAGTATTTCCTTCATTTTTCGGAAATGAAGTTTGTGACAGCCACAAAGACCAAGTTTCTGGAGTAGAACAACTACTTGCACACAATTAAATAACACTTTCAAACCAGGAACAGAACATTTTTTCAAAATTTTGTTGCATCATTTATTTCCCCAAGTGCAAAATGATTCGTTTTCCTGTTTGTGAAGTTTAAGCATGTCTATACAAAGGCACAATCCATGAGATACTAATGTTTTTTGCTACACATCCATTACAGCAATGTTTCTCAACTTGGGGGTCGGGGCTGGAAGGAGGTTTGTGCCAGCAAGTCCCTTCAAGGCATAGGGTTCTTTGTGGGAGGTTTAGCCTAATTCTAATTCTACAATTGATGGGGTTCAGAATGCTCTTTGATTGTAGGTGAACTATAAATCCCACCAACTACTCCCAAATGTCAAGGTCTATTTCCCCCAAACTCCACCAGTGTTCACATTTGGGTATATTGAGTATTTGTGCCAAGTTTGCTCTGGATCCATCATTGTTTGAGTCCACAGTGCTCTCTGGATGTAGATGAACTACAACTCCAAAACTTAAGCTCAATGCCCACCAAACCCTTCCAGTATTTTCTATTGGTCATGGTAGTTCTGTGTACCAAGTTTGGTTAAGTTCCATCGTTGATGGAGTTCAGAATGCTCTTTGATTGTGGGTGAACTGTAAATTCCACCAACTTCAACTCCCAAATGACAAAATCAATCCCCCCCCCCATTTGTGTCAATTTTGGTCCAAATTTGGTCCAGTGAATGAAAATTTATCCTGCCTTTGTCTGTGTATTTGTCTGTCATTGTTGTTGACTGTATAAAAGGCACTGAACGTTTGCCTTTGTCTGTGTATATTGTAATCCTCTCTGAGTTCTCTTGGGGAGATAAAGCAGAAGATAAATAAAGTGTATTATATTATTATCATTATTATTACCCTGCTAGCGAGTTGACTAGTAGTATAAAGGATGGATCTCTGTAATGCAAAATCCAGTGTACTCTAGAGATAAGTGAGCCATGGAATTGAGTGAAATGGGCAAGCAGCTGTCCCTCTGTGGTCTGGTGTCATTTGTCTGTCCTGGTTTCCATCTCCAGATCCCCGCTTGTACCAGGAGATCCGTGAAAAAGGCCTCAACTCTATCAGCCACGAGTCGGACGATGATCTTCTCGACATCCCGGAAGAGCCCCCAAGTTCAGACTCCATTATTGTGGTGAGCAATTACCGCCCTGCTCATGTCACCTGGAGCCAGCTCCCAGAGGTAAGGCAGCTGCCGCGAGGAAAGAACGAACCTTGACTTTTGCTTTGCAGCATCCCCCCCCCCCCCGGTTTCATTTATCCATTCAAAATACTGTATATACTTGAGTATAAGCCTAGTATTTCAGCCCCTTTTTTAGGCTGAAAAATCTCCCCTCGGCTTAAAGTCGAGTCAATGTTATTTACTAGGCTTGGGTAACCACGGAAAAATTTGGTTCTAAACTCGTTTCGTTTTTAGGGGGCCCTTGCGTTTCGTTTTTTTAAAGAATTCCGAAATTTTACTTAAAAAAATTTCGAAATATATGAAATTTCGTAAAATTACGAATCGATTCGTTAATGGCGGACGCGATTGTGCAATATGCTAAAAAAAACCTCCAAATGGGACAGGGGGAACTTCTGAAGCTTCCCTCTCCCTCTGTTGTTGACTGTTGGTGTGATAAAACAAACAACAACTATATTATATTAGATTAGATTATATTATTTATTTACTTTGCTTGTATACCGCAGTTTCTCAGCCCGTAGGCGACTCAACGTGGTTCACAACAAGAGCAAAAAGACAATCCTAGCAATATACAATTTTAAACCATTAAGAGCGTAATATACAAAGCAAAGACACATCAATAACAACACAATAACGTCTCCTAACTAGAATCGTGATACAAATTCGTCATCTATGATTCCGTTCCTATGTTCACCATATTCATTGCACTGTTTATCCGAATGCCTGTTCAAACAGCCAGGTTTTTAGTTTTCTTCGAAACACCATTAGCGTAGGAGCTGATCTAATGTCCATGGGAAGGACATTGTATATGTATATTATATTATAGTATTATATTATTGTATATTATATTATATTATATTATATTATATTATATTATATTATTATAATATTGTTATATTATATTATATTATATTATATTATTATATATATAATATATATAATATATTCTATTATATTATAATTGTATATTATATTATATTATATTACATTATATTATAATATATTACATATATTATATTATAATATACAATTATAATATAATAGAATAATAATATAATATATAATATAATAATATAATATGCAATACTATAATATAATAGTATTATAATAACATAATGTAATATAATATAATATATAATTTATATTATATTAATATTATAATATTATATTATATTATAATTGTATATTATAAAATATAATTACGAAATTATGAAAATAATTACGAAAATTGGAAAAAAAATCAATTCTTAATTACTCCTCACACTATTCCTGCATGGCTCGATATTGGATCGTAAGCTAATTTAAATACGAATTAATAACGAATTACGAAATTAACGAACTGGATCGCCCAAGCCTATTATTTACTATTTTACTCTGTTATTATTATTTTATTGCATTTATTATTTTACTCTATTTATTATTATTATTACATTTATTATACTTTTATTGTTATTATAACAATTACTATTTTACCCTATTTATTATTGTTATTGTGTTACTGTGTCTGGTTGTGATCCCCAGGTTGTGCCAGTCAGCTTTCATATGATATTATTTCTAGCACCCATTTTTTGCTTGATACTCAAGCAGTGCTTCTTGTAAGTCAGAGCACGGTCCAGAATAAGCAAACACGGGAAACTTTAATCATGAACTGGAGAGTTCATGAAAGCAATCCTTATGGTGTTGTCTCCTCTGAGAGGCACCAAGTAAACACCACTTAATTTAAGCCCAAGCCCAACCAGGAAGACATGAAATCAACCCGAATGCACCTGGGCTTCAATACCTTCTAACGGAGTCTCTCAGAATGTCTAATTAATCTATCTTTGTCGAAGGCTTTCATGGCTGGAATCACTCAGTTCTTGTGGGTTTTTTCAGGCTATATGGCCATGTTCTAGAGGCATTTCTCCTGACGTTTCGCCTGCATCTATGGCAAGCATCCTCAGAGGTAGTGAGGTCTGTTGGAACTGGGAAAAGGGGTTTATATATCTGTGGAATGACCAGGGTGAGACAAAGGACTTTTGTCAGTTGGGCTAGGTGTGATCTTTCAACTGCCCACCTTGATTAGCATACAATGGGCTGACTGTGCCTGAGGCAAACTCTTCTTGAAGGGTGATTAGATGTCCCTGCCTGTTTTTCTCTCTGCTGTTGTTGTTGTAAGTTTAGAGTTTTTTAATACTGGTAGCCAGATTTTGTTCATTTTCATGGTTTCCTCCTTTCTGTTGAGATTGTCCACATGCTTGTGGATTTCCATGGCTTCTCTGTGTAGTCTGACATGGTGGTTGTGAGAGTGGTCCAGCATTTTTGTGTTCTCAAATAAAATGCTGTGTCCAGGTTGGTTCATCAGGTGCTCCGCTATGGCTGATTTCTCTGGTTGGAGTAGTCTGCAGTGCCTTTTATGTTCCTGGATTCTTGTTCCTGGATTCTGTGAACCCCACCTTCTTCAAGATGAACTGAACCACCTCAACTGGGCTCTCCAGGCCAATGGAGACTCCACCTCAGACATCAGAAGAGCTGCAAGACCAAGAACAAGCCACGAGAGTAAAGATGAAGATCCACCCAGAGGAAAAGTGTTCTTGCCATACATCAAAGGAACCACTGACCGCATAGGGAAGCTGATGAGGAAACACAACATACAAACACTACAAACCCACCAAGAAAATCCAACAAATGCTACGTTCAGCAAAGGACAAGAGGGATCCTCTCACCTCTGCAGGAGTCTACCGTATACCATGCAGCTGTGGACAAGTCTACATAGGGACCACCAAACGCAGCATTGCCCAGACACGCATCAAGGAACATGAAAGGCACTGCAGACTACTCCAACCAGAGAAGTCAGCCATAGCAGAGCACCTGATGAACCAACCTGACACAGAAATGCTGGACCACTCTAACAACCACCATGTCAGACTACACAGAGAAGCCATTGAAATCCACAAACATGTGGACAATTTCAACAGAAAGGAAGAAACCATGAAAATGAACAAAATCTGGCTACCAGTATTAAAACATTCTAAAATTGCAACAGCAAAAACAGCAGAGAGAAAAACAGGCAGGGACATCTAATCACCTTTCAAGAAGAGTTTGCTCCAGGCACAGTCAGCCCATTGTATGCTAATCAAGGTGGTCAGTTGAAAGATTCACACCTAGCCCAACTTACAAAAGCCCTTTGTCCCACCCTGGTCATTCCACAGATATATAAACCCCCTTTTTTCCCAGTTCCAGCAGACCTCACCTCTGAGGATGCTTGCCATAGATGCAGGCGAAACGTCAGGAGAAATGCCTCTAGAACATGGCCATATAGCCCGAAAAAACCCACAAGAACTAATCTATCTTTCACTCCCTCCATCCTCAAACCTAATCTGGCTTCACAAGAAAACTCCCCTTCGGCTGAAGGCCATTTCACAAGGGAACTGAAATCTTCACTTTCTGTTGCTTGGGAACAAGCACAGGAACCCCAAACACAGGCCAGGTTTTGTTCATTTTTATGATTTCCTCCTTTCTGTTGAAATTGTCCACATTTCAATGGCTTCTGTGTAGTCTGACGTGGTGGTTGTGAGAGTGGTCCAGCATTTCTGTGTTGTCAAATAATATGCTGTGTCCAGGTTGGTTCATCGAGTGCTCTGCTGTGGCTGATTTCTCTGGTTGGATAAGTCCGCAGTGCCTTTTCATGTTCCTTGATTCGTGTCTGGGCAACGCTGCGTTGGATGGTCCCTATGGAGACTTGTCCACAACTGCATGGTAGCTCCTGTAAAAAATGAACAAAATCTGGTTTCCAGTATTTAAAATACTCTAAAATCAGGACAGTAAAGAAAGAGCAAGACTAAAAGAAAAGGGGAATTCCAGACAGGAAACAATCAGGGCCATCTAACACCTCCCAACAAAGGATTCCCCCAGGCAGGAAGCAGCCAGGCTTTGATGCTGCAAGACTTTGAAGCTGCAAGGCTTTGAAGCTCCAATCTGGCCAATTGCAACATTCACTCCTGTCTCCAACAGACAAGAGCTCTTTCTCCCACCCTGGACATCATTCCACAGATAAATGAACCCCACTTGCCTTGTTTCCAACAGACCTCTCACACTCTGAGAATTCCTGTCGTAGATATGTGCAAAATGTCAGGAGAGAATTCTTCTGGAACATGGCCCGGCAGCCCAGAAAACTCACAGCAACCCAACACAGGTGTTGCTTCTGGACTTTTTGAGTCCAAGCCGCAAAGAGATTGGCGCCCACAGCTTTGTCTTACACTCAGATACCAAACTCTGAGCCGGTTAGCGCTAGAGTTTCTTGGGTCAATATTGACACAATGGTCTCCCCACCCTTTCTATAGGTGTGACTTGGACTTCCTTTGGAAGTCCCATTAAAGGCAAGTGCAACATTCAATGGGGACGTCGTGCCTTAAAGGAGTGGCGGCCACCGAGGCGCCTCTTCCCTGGCCCAGCCTTGCCTTTCCTCCCGGCCACGAAGTCCAAAGATGTCTTCCTGGGGTGGCATCATGCTCTGAGCAGGATCGATCATGTTTGCTGAGAGACAGCTCTGTTTTTATTGTTCCAGACAGACATAGGCAGGGTGGGTGAGATAACAGCGAGAAGGGAAACGCCCTGCAAGGAGCAGGACAGTAATAAAATACCTTGCATGGTGAGTGGAGGTGGCTATTTAGTGCTCAGGAGAGGTTTTGCTACTGTTATGAATCGTAATGTAAATATGTGATATGCAGGATGCATTCTCATTCACTGGACCAAATTTGGCACAAAGACCCAATGTGCCGTCGTGCCTGGGGCTGAAAGTGAAAGAGACATCTTTTCCTCAGGGGATTGCTTCTTGCCCTCCTTTAGGGAACTGGAACTCCCAAGGACCAAGACACAACAGATAACTCGAAATGGTATTTATTGTTTCTGGAGGATTAATCTTGATATTTCAAAAGGGACAAGGAAAATATACATTACAGTCTCTGAAGCCCTGGGTCCAAGGAGTTTTGCAGCTGAGAAGCTTTCCCTGTTTCCTCTTTCCTCAATGGCTGTGAAAGTTGGAACAAACACAACCCCCAGTCCAATGGCCTATGTTGAAGGCACAGAGTCTTCCTTTTGATGCCAAAGGACCGGTTTGGCACTTGGGTCTCCTCAACGTTGTCCAGGGCGATCTGGGCATGAAGTATGAGTCCCAAGGGTAAAAACCTGAGAATTGGTGATGAGAGGTAACTTAATTAAGGGCTTTAGAGCCAAGTCCTTTTTCACGTCCATCTGCTGAGATGTTTGATGGTGGAATGAAAAGAAAGCGGTGTTCTTGGGGAAAATAGACCTTGACATATGCGAGTTGTAGTGACTGGGATGTATAGTTCACCTAATCAAAGAGCATTCTGAACTCCACCAATGATGGAACTGAACCAAATATGGCACACAGAACTCCCACGACAAACAGAATATATATATAAGTGATTGGTTTGGGGGGGGGGGATACTGTTTGCTTACCATTGAAAATGGTACCTCTGAGAAGGAGAGGGTGGGGGAGTGATTTTGTAATTTGGGAGTTCTAGTTGCTTGGATTTATAGTTCATCTACAATCAAAGAGCATTCTGTTTTGGAACAAGGGGAGTACTAGATCAGTGTTTCTCAACCTTCCTAATGCCACAACCCCTTAACACAGTTCCTCATGTGGTGGTGACCCCCAACCATGACATTATTTACGTTGCTACTTCATAACTTTCATTTTGCTACTGTTATGAATCGTCATGTAAATATCCGATACGCAGGATAAATTTTCATTCACTGGACCAAATTTGGCACAAATACACAATACGCTCAAATTTGAATACTGGTTGGGGGGATTGATTTTGTCATTTGGGAGTTGTAGTTGGTGGAACTTATAGTTCACCTACAATCAATGAGCATTCTGAACTCCACCAACCGAATTTCCCACACAGAACTCCCACGACTAACAAAAAGTACTGGAAGGGTTTGGTGGGCATTGACCTTGAGTTTTGGAGTCGTAGTTCATCTACATCCAGAGACTCAAATAATGATGGATCTGGACTAAACTTGGGACGAATACTCAATCTACCCAAATGTGAACACTCATGGAGTTTGAGGAAAATAGACCTTGACATTTGTGAGTTGTAGTTATTGAGATTTATAGTTCACCTAAAACCTTTTTGTTTTAGTGCCCCATTTTCAAGACGCCGTAGTGCACCTGGTGTAGGTTGTTGCATTGGCAGCAAAGTACTGATGCCAAAGCTGGAATTGTGTTTGTCTTCTGCAGGTGCAGGAAGCAGGAATTCTGGATTTGATATCCCAAGAGGAACGCAAAAGGCAAGAGGTAAGGAAAGCTGTTAGAACAGGCAAACTTCGGCCTTCCAAGTGTTTTGGAGTTCAGAGGGTTACTTACATATGAGCGGTGTTCATTAAAGATTTCCTTCACCCATTCCAACCAGGTAAATTTATCTATTTATTTATTTATTTATTTATTTACAGCTTTTATATTCCGCCCTTCTTACCCCGCAGGGGACTCAGGGCGGGTTACAGTGTACACATATATGGCAAACATTCAATGCCAATTTTTGACATACAAACATATACAGACATACACAGAGGCTATTTAACTTTTTCTGGCCGCCAGGGGAGCTGTCGTTTTCCATCTGCGACGCTGATGAAGCACTTCCGCCTTCCCCGCATGCTTCCCCGCTGGAATGCTTTGCTGGAGTCTTCTTTATGGCCTCATAAATCAGTTAATTTAGCCTCCCCACACTTTAAGGTGGTACCTAATTTTCCTACTTGACAGATGCAACTGTCTTTCGGGTTGCAAAGGTCGACAACAGGCTACACAACTGGTTGGAAACCCACTCCAACCTGGGCTGGCTTCGAACTCATGACCTTTTGGTCAGAGTGATTCTCTACCTTCCTAAAGCCGCGACCCCTTAATAGTGTCTCATGTTCTGGTGACCCCCAACCATAACATTATTTTCGTTGCTACTCACAACTGTAATTTTGCTACTGTTATGAATCGTAATGTAAATATCTGATATGCAGGGTGTATTTTCATTCACTGGATCAGTCTGGGCACAAATACCTGATACACCCAAATCTGAATACTGGTGGGGTTGGGGGGAGTCATTTATCATTTGGGAGTTGTAGTTTCTGGGATTTATAGTTCAGCTACAATTAAAGAGCATCCTGAACTCCACCAATGATGGAATTGAACCAAATTTGGCACACATAACTCCCATGAACAAGAGAAAATACTGGCAGGGTTTGGTGGGCATTGACCTTGAGTTTTGGAGTTGTAGTTCACCTACATCCAGAGAGCACTGTGGACTCAAACAATGATGGATCTGGACCAAACTTGGCATGAATACTCAATATGCCCAAATGTGAACACTGGTGGAGTTTGGGGAAATAGACCTTGACATTTGGGAGTTGTAGTTGCTGGGATTTAAAGTTCACCTACAATCAAAGAGCATTCTGAACTCCACCAATGATAGAATTGGGCCAAACTTGACACACGAAACTCCCTTGACCAACAGAAAATACTGTGTTTTCTGATGGTCTTCGGTGACCCCTCTGATGCCCCCTTGCCACCTCCCCAGGGGTCCCGACCCCCAAGTTGAGAAACACTGGGTTAGAGTGATCTTAATGCAGCTGACACTTAGCCAGCTGCGCCACAATCCTGGTGAATATGAGGAACTTCCTGACTGTGAGAGCCGTTCAGCAGTGGAACTCTCTGCCCTGGAGTGTGGTGGAAGCTCCTTCTTTGGAAGCTTTTAAACAGAGGCTGGATGGCCATCTGTCAGGGGTGCTTTAAATGCAATATTCCTGCTTCTTGGCAGAATGGGGTTGGACTGGATGACCCATGAGGTCTCTTCCAACTCTATGATTCTATGATTCTATGAATCAAAACTTCCAAGAACTTAAAATAAAAAAATGAACTGAAAACAGGACTTGATAGCCTTACTCTTACACAGTGTTGCCTGATCTGAATTTTCAACAAGACACTCTCTAATTTAAGAGCTGTAAAACACGAAGGCATTTCTTTGACCTTGACTTTCTGACTTGTGAAACTTTCTTGAAGGCTTGGGAGAAATTCCTCTCAGTTGCGTCATGAAATATAAATCCTATCAAACTCTACAATACGATGGGTCGCTTTAGGAGCCTTACGGTGTATCTGCTCTCCTTTATTGATGCCATGGATTTGTCATTCACAATGCAAGATCAAGAGAAAATTCCTCCCAAGTCCCAGGATGTTTCACCTCTCTTAATATTGGCCCCTTCTTATTGTGTTTTTGTTTTGCAGGCAATTTTTGAGATTGTGACTTCGGAGTATTCCTACATGAGGAGCCTGGAGATCCTGGTCAACCACTTCTTGAAGTCCGAGGGACTGAAGGAGACCATGACCCAGACGGACCACCACCACCTCTTCTCCAACATCGGGGACATCTTGGCGGTCAGCAAGAAGTACGTCTGAAGGGGAAGAAGCTTGGGATAACGTTTTGGGAAGCAGTTTGGAATGTCAGGTGCAAACTAGAGAAACCTACATTCAAGTGAAGTTTATGGAACTTCAAGGGCAAGTCATTTGACTTTGCATATTATTATTTTGGTTGTTGTTAACTTTATTATGTTTATTTATTACTAACTTGGGGACCTGGTTGTCCATAAGCATGTTGGTGAACAACAACACACATTTTATTTATTTATTTATTTATGCAACATTTACATACCGCCCTTCTCACCCTGAAAGGGACTCAGAGCGGCTTACAAGTAAAAAGTAAATACAATCTATCTATACCCATAATAAAAGTGAAAAATGTGTATGTGGCAGAGGTGTCTACCATTACACAGACATCCTCCAGCCTCCACAAACAGGCTATAGTTTCAAGTGTTGAGAAGTCTCCAAAGGCACTCCCTCCACTGACATTGTAGGTTATAGCGAGTGCTATGAACTAGGCCTGTGCGATTTAGTTCGTTATTTCGTTATTAATTCGTTATTTTTGCATTTTTGAAGCGATATCAAAACACATTTTCAAACCCGGAAGGGTTTAAAAATATCGAACCGGCAGCCCCCATAAATTTAACGAGCTTCCGCTCGTTTCGTTAATGGGATGGAGGCTGCTGGAGTGCTGGTGCCATTCCCCTCTTTCTCGGCCTGGGCTGCTCTCCCCGCCCTCTTTCCCCTCTCCCCGTTTTCCAACACTCCTCCTCCTCCACATGCGGCTGCATAGTGAGTGAAGTACTGTATTATAATAGCGCTGCATCAGGGGCGGCTGAAGCAACTTACGTGCCAAATCCCTGGCTGTGGGCTGCTTGGCTTGCTTGCTCGCTTCTCCAAGCGGGCGAAAGGAGAGGGAGAGAGAAAAACAGTGTGCTGCTGCCTGTCTCTTTAAGGAAGGAGCACATGGAGCCCTCGGCTGCCCGTTTGGCGGAGGGAGGGAGGCAGGCGCGCGCTTGGTTGCTCTGGGTTTAGCTGAGGAGAAAAAAAGAGCAACCAAGCGCGCGCCTGCCTCCCTCCCTCCGCCAAACCGGCAGCCGAGGGCTCCATGTGCTCCTTCCTTAAAGAGACAGGCAGCAGCACACTGTTTTTCTCTCTCCCTCTCCTTTCGCCCGCTTGGAGAAGCGAGCAAGCAAGCCAAGCAGCCCACAGCCAGGGATTTGGCACGTAAGTTGCTTCAGCCGCCCCTGATGCAGCGCTATTATACAGTACTTCACTCACTATGTAGCCACATGTGGAGGAGGATTCAGGAGCATTCTCTCCTGACGTTTCTCTCATATCTTATAGCAGGCATCCTCAGAGGTTTGTTGGAAACTAGGCAAGTAGGGTTTTATATCCCTGTGAAATAACGTCCAGGGTGGGAGAAAGAACCCTTGTCTGTTGGAGGCAATTGTGAATGCTGCCATTGGCCACCTTGATTAGCATTGAATGGCCTCGCAGCTTCAAAGCCTGGCTGTAGAAGGTCCAGGGTGGGAGAAAGAACTCTTGTCTGTTGGAGGCAAGTGTGAATGTTGCCATTGGACAGCTTGATTGGGATTAAATGGCCTTGTAGCTTCAAAGTCTGGCTCCTTCCTGCTCAGGGGAATCCTTTGTTGGGAGGTGTTAGCTGGGTCTGACTCAAACCCGCTATGTCTGTATAGTAGGCCTGTGCGGTTTCGTTTTCCATTTTAAAATATTTTTAATATTATTTTTTAATATTATTTTTAATATTATTTTTTAATATTATTTTTAATATTATTCTTAAAAAATAAAAAAAATATTCTAAAAATTCGTTAATATTTACAAAATTTTGTAAATACCAAAACTTTTTTGGGGAAAGTTTTGTAATTATTTTAAATATCGAAACAAAAAAACACCCCAATTACAAAACGATTTTAGAAACAAATTTTTTCTTGATCAAACAGGCCTACTATGAACATGTAGCCCAACCGCTGCCAATGTACTCCACAAACACTACTGCCCACCACCCAAGGAATGCTTTCATTCGGGAAGAATTTCATCCTAGATTTGATGTGTTTCCTCCATCACAGGCAGGCATCCCTGGGTTCCTTGTGTGAATTTGCATGACCACGCCCACTGCTTCTCCCTTCACCCTTTCCTACCCTTTCGTATGGCACACAGCAAACTCAGAGGAATTGATCAGACTGGAGAGGTCCAGCAATGGACCAGGACCAAACATGGCACAGAGAAGCCCTGTGACCAACTGAACATACTGCAGGGGTTTGGGGGAAATGACCTTGATTTTGGGAGATGTAGTTCACCTGCATCTCGAGAGCACTCAACCAAGCTGATGACGGATCTGGACCACACTCGGCACACAGACTCAACACGGCCAACTGTAAACACTGGCTGGGTTTGGAGGTGATTGCAATGGGAATCTGGGAATTGTAGTTCACCCTTATGTAGAGACACTGAACCCAGTCAACCACAGATCTGGACCAAACTTGGCACACAGACTCAACATGGCCAACTGTCCATACAGGCCTGGTTTGGGGAGAGTGGACCCACAATTCTGGGAATTTTTGTTCACCCACATCATTATGTATTTTGTAATGGGAGCATTCCTAAAAAACAAAATCGCATTCTGGCTTTTTCCTGATAAATAGGGTTACTAATTAACTAAACGATATTACCCAATACCCCAAAACAAACAATGCCTTTTTCAAATAACCCGGGCACTGCCGGGTGCCCAAGCTAGTATATTATATTATTATCATAGCACAATATTAATATTATGTATTACATTGTACTATAACATTATCCTGTAATGTTATTAGTAATATTACATTTAATATAAAATAGATAATAATATCATATTATTATTAGTAGTATATTGTATTGCATTATAATATTATCAATTATTACCACACATCATGCCAAGTTGATCCCAAAAAACTCCATCAGTACTTCAAATGTTAGGGAAGTTTGCTCAAGATTTATCATCGGTGGGGTTCAGTGTGCTCTTTGGCTGTAGGGTAAACTACAACTCTCACTATGGTGAATCAGTCCCTTCAAACTCCTCCAGGAGGTTGAGTTAGTCATTGGGGTTCTGTGTGCCAAGTTTGGTACAGGTCCATCATCGGTGGAGGTCACTGGATGTGGATGAACTAGAACTTGCAAAAGTAAGGGCAGTTCAAACCACCCTCCACCCCCCAGTAATCAAATTTCAGCATATCAGGTCCAGATCCATTGGTGTCTGGGTTCACAGTGCTCTCTGGATGTAGGTGAACTACAACTCCCCTAAATCAAGGTGAATTTTCCCCAAAGACCTCCAGTATTTTTTGCTGGTCAAGGGGGCTCTGTGTGCCAAGTTTGGTCCAAGAGCATTCTGAACTCCACCAATGATGGAATTGGGCCAAACTTAGCACACAGGGCTCCCATGACCAACAGAAAAAAGTGGAAGGGTCTGGTAGACATTGACCTTGAGTTTGGGAATAATAATAATAATAATAATAATAATAATAATAATAATCTTTATTTATACCCCGCCACCATCTCCCCAGTGGGGACTCGGAGCAGCTTACATGGGACCAAGTCCAGACAACATATTACAGCAATAAAATCAAAGCATAAACAACAGACAACAACAACATCATCAGAATACATTAATTTAAAACTCACAAAACACATAGAGTTGTGAGGCTGAGCTTCCCATTTGGGGGGCACGAATTCCAGTAGCAGAAAAACGTTGAGGGGTGCAAAATGTTATGAAGTGCACCTACTCACCAAAGGCGCAGCAGAAGAGCCAGGTTTTAAGGTTCTTTTTAATGTTTCTAGTGTAGGGGCTTTCCTGATCTCTCCAGGTAAAGAGTTCCAAAGTTGGGGAGCCTCCAAAGAAGGAGCCTTCACCACACTCCAATGAAATAATGTTACCAAGTTCTGCTTTATATTATTGTCTTCCCTTTCCCTTTCTTTTGCATGTCTCCAGCTTTTTTGAGGACTTGGAAAAGAGGCACCAGGAGAACGTCCTGATCCCAGACATCAGCGACATTGTGGCGGCTCACGCCAGCGACCATTTCAATCCGTACGTCATCTATTGCTCCAATGAGGTCTACCAGCAGAGGACCCTTCAAAAGCTCTTGTGAGTGGCCCACTTGCTCCAAATTATTCTTACAGAGGGCATTCAATAAAGATTTCCCCTGACCCACTTCTATGTGTTACAGGACTCTGAAACTGCACATGTGTAATGATACAAGTCTCTATAGGTAATGTGCCAATTTACAACTCAGAACTGAAAATGGTATTGATGTTACAGGTGCCGAAGTGGTGTGAGGTTTTGAGACTGGACCCACTGGAATACAGAGCAGCCACCAAGTTCCTTTTCTTGAAGGAAAGGAGACGTTTGATGAGATGAAAGAGGTTGATGTTGATGATTCCCCATCATATGATGTAGTCAAGAATTGGCATGATCAGTTCAAATGTGGTCGGACTTCAGTGGAAACAGCTTCAATTCCAGGGTGACCCCACTCTGCTATTGATGAACACACCATTCAGCAAGTGGAGGTCGCCATTTTGGAAAATTGCCACCTCACCATTCGCCACCTAGCCCAAAATGTCAAGATGAGTGTGGGCTCCATGGAAGAAATCACGAAAAACCATCTTCACTTATTTATTTATTTATTATTATTTATTTTATTTCATTTACTTATACCCCGCCCTTCTCACCCCGAGGGGGACTCAGGGCGGCTTACAGAGGAGGCAGAATTAAATGCCTAAATCAATTGACAAAAATACAAATACAACAAAAACAATTCAACAGTTAAAGTTAAAACATCAGTACATAATAAAATATTAAAACAATCTCATGCTCGGGTTCAGAGTCCATATAACCATTCCATTCCATTTGTCGTTGTCTGTCGTCAGATCCTTAATTTAGCTGCCAGTGTGTCCAAAGGCTTGGTCCCAGACCCAGGTCTTCAGTTGTTTCCTGAATGCCAGGAGGGAGGTCGCCGATCTAATCTCCCCGGGGAGTGAGTTCCACAGGTGGGGGGCCACCACTGAGAAGGCCCTGCTCCTCGTCCCCGCCAACCTCACTTGTGAGAGTGGCGGGGTCGAGAGCAGTGCCTCCCCAGAAGATCTTAGGCTTCGAGGTGGGATGTAGCGGGAGATCCGTTCGGACAAATACACTGGGCCGGAACCGTATAGGGTTTTATAGGTCAAAACCAGCACTTTGAATTGTGCTCGGAATTGGATCGGCAGCCAGTGGAGCTGGCGCAACAGGGGGGTGGTATGCTCCCTGTACGCCGCTCCGGTGAGCAATCTGGCTGCTTCTCGCTGGACTAGTTGAAGTTTCCGAGCAGTCTTCAAAGGCAACCCCACGTAGAGTGCGTTGCAGTAATCCAACCGGGATGTGACAAGAGCGTGGACCACCGTGGCCAGATCAGACTTCCCAAGGTATATGCTTAAGGTATATGCTTGCTGGGTCCCCCAGCTGCTCACACCTTTCCAAAAGCAGGAACGAGTTGAATGCTCTCCGGCTCTCTTGACAATGATGTGCCATGGAAACCAGGAGGACTTTTTCAACAGACTGATCCCACAAGAGGAAAGCTGGGTCCATCACTCTGATCCTGAGACTCAAGTCCAGTTGATGGAATGGAAGCATCCTGACTCACCGCTTCCAAAGAAGGCACGTGCCCAACTCTTGGCAGGCAAGGCCATGCTTACAGTATTTTGAGACCAGCACTGAGTCATATGGATGGATTTCCTAGTAAAGGAGACCATGATCACCGGGACAGACTAGGTTGGAATGAACACTACCAAAGCCTCCTGAACCGCAGCTCCAATGTGGCCAAAGAGGTTCTCTCACAAATCCCGCAACAACAAACCAGGGCTGAGCTTGCAGCACTGCCTAGTTTGGAAGAAGTCAGCAATGCCATCAGCCAACAAAAAAATAACAAAGCCAGCAGACCTGATGGGATCCCTGCTGAAATATTTAAAGAGGGAGGACCTGCGCTGACACAACAACACCAGCTCATAGAAAAATTATGGGTGACTAAGAAAATCCCAGCAGATTTCAAGGATGCCACCATTACCACCCTCTTCAAAAAAGGGGAAAGAACAAACTGCGGAAACTATCGAGGTATCTCCCTCCTAACCTCCGCTGGGAAAATCCTCCCAAGAATCCTTGCAAACCGCCTTCTACCCCTCTCCGAAGACACCCTCCCAGTATCCCAGAATGGCTTCTGCCCCTCCAGAGGAACCGTGGACACGATCTTCACTGCACGACAGCTCCAAGAAAAATGCAGGGAACGAAATCAACCTCTGTACATGGCATTCATCAACCTTGCAAAGGCATTTGACACAGTGTGAATCGCAGCACTCTCTGGACCATCCTCCAAAAAATCGGGTGTCCTAACAAATTTGTGAACATCCTGCGGCTCCTCCATGATGACATGATGGCAACAGTCTTGGACAGCAATGGCTCCCAAAGTGACCCATTTAAGGTGGAATCAGGTGTCAAACAGGGATGTGTTATTGCCCCAACTTTATTCTCCATCTTCATCGCTATGATACTTCACCTTGTTGATGGGAAGCTTCCCACCGGAGTGGAAATCATATATTGGACAGATGGCAAGCTATTCAACCTCAGCAGACTGAAAGCCAAAACCAAGGTTACAACAACATCTGTTATAGAACTCCAATATGCTGATGACAACGTTGTCAGTGTGCATTCAGAAGAAGAAATACAAGCCACTCTAAACACCTTCGCAGAAGCTCGGCCTGTCATTGAACATAGAGAAAACCAAAGTGCTCTTCCAGCAGTCACCAGCCAATCCGTCTGCAATGCTAGAGATACAGCTTAATGGTGTAACATTAGAAAATGGTGATCATTTCCACTTTCTTGGCAGCCACCTCTCCACCAAAGTCAACATTGACACTGACATACAACACTCTTAAAAACTCTGGCATAGAGAAGATGCAAATACTGAAGGTGCAAAAATTGGAAAATATGAATACAAAATAAGAGCTTTTGCTGATGACTTGCTAGTTATTGTAGAAGACCCAATTAACAACTTGCAAAATTGGATTAAAGAAATACATGAATTTGGAAAGGTGGCAGGCTTTAAAATGAATAAAGGGAAAACTAAAATACTAACTAAGAATGTAGATAAGGACAAACAACAAAGAATTGCATAGAATACAGGAATGGAAATAGTAAAGAAATTAAGATATTTAGGGATTTGGCTGTCGGCGAGAAATGGTCAACTTTTGAAGAACAACTCTGAAATGACCTGGAATAATATACAGAAAGACCTTAAGAAATGGGAATTTTTGAACTTATCCTTATTAGGTAGGATCTCCCTTATAAAAATGAATGTTGGTTGGGGGTGTTGGTTGGGAGTGGGTGTCAATCTATCTTTCCTACTTTACTATCAAATATTCCCCCTCTTTCCATGTAATTCTAGAAAACTTTAATAAAAATCATTTTTTAAAAACTCTGGCATAGACACTGAGAAGTGGGAAGCCCTGGCCCTTGAGCACTCCAGTTGGAGGTCAGCTGTGACCAGCAGTGTTGTAGAATTTGAAGAGGCATTTACTTAAAAAGATGGGAAAAGTGTGTGTCCCGAGGTGGCAACGATGGAGAGAAGGACTCATAACTGGACCAAGTTTCATTGCTCTCAATCCACAGGAAGTGGGTCAGGGGAAATCTTTCATGAATGCCCGTCATACGTAAGTATTCCCCATATCCGGACCTAACACTGTGTCCCTGTATCATTTCAGAGCCACAAATCCAGCCTTTAAGGAGACCTTGAAGCAGATTGAGCAGAAACCAGAGTGTGGCAGCCTTCCTTTGATCTCGTTTCTCATCCTCCCCATGCAGAGAGTGACCCGCTTGCCTCTGCTCCTCGATGTGAGTAGACACAATGGGGCTTCGAATATTGCTTTTGAAAAGGAAATGGTTACATCGCCCTTACTGTAAAAACTCCATTGTAATTCATACAATAACTTCACAGTGGTCTTCAAATTAGTGGATTTTTCAGCCTTAGTGGAAATATTGTAATATGCACTTGTACCTTTGAATCTTAGTGTCCAGGGAAGCAGAAAGCCTCTTCCTGGTGCAGCCTGTGATTTGAAAATATCACATTGCATGTCTTCCTTACTTTTAGACTGTTTGCCAGAAGACACAGATGTACACTCCGGCTTACGAGGCTGCCACTCAAGCCCTGAAGGCCATAAGTAAGGTAAATGTCTTGAAGCGTCAGATATTCCAGCTTGGACTCATTGCAGCAATTTAGTTAGTAAGTAGAGTGGGGTTTGCATTTAGATGCAAGGCTTGTAGATAATATGTCTGATGCTCAAATGTCCTTAAGCCTCGAATATAACATACTTTATTTATATGAGCAGATTACATATATGGCAAACTTTCAATGTCATTATACAATTAACAACCAAGACAGACTGTACACAGACAGAGGCAAAGGCTTCCTTTCCATCTCCTGCATCTGGAGGCTGTGCTCAACTTCAGTCACGGGGAAGCAAACATTCATTGCCATTATACAATTAACAACAAAGACAGACAGTACACAGACAGAGGCAAAGGCTTCCCCCTTTCCATCTCTGGCATCTGAAGACTGTGCTCAACTTCAGACACGGGAAGGCAAACTTTCAATCCCATTATACAATTAACAAAAAAGACAGACAGTACACAGACAGAGGCAAAGGCTTCCCCCTTTCCATCTCCGGCATCTGGAGGCTGTGCTCAACTTCAGTCACGGGGAGGCAAACATTCAATGCCATTATACAATTAACAACAAAGACAGACAGTACACAGACAGAGGCAAAGGCTTCCCCCTTTCCATTTCCGGCATCTGGAGGCTGTGCTCAACTTCAGTCACGGGGAGGCAAACATTCAATGCCATTATACAATTAACAACAAAGACAGACAGTACACAGACAGAGGCAAAGGCTTCCCCCTTTCCATCTCCGGCATCTGGAGGCTGTGCTCAACTTCAGTCACGGGGAGGCAAACATTCAATGCCATTATACAATTAACAACAAAGACAGACAGTACACAGACAGAGGCAAAGGCTTCCCCCTTTCCATTTCCGGCATCTGGAGGCTGTGCTCAACTTCAGTCACGGGGAGGCAAACATTAAATGCCATTATACAATTAACAACAAAGACAGACAGTACACAGACAGAGGCAAGAGCTTCCCCCTTTTCATCTCCGGCATCTGGAGGCTGTGCTCAACTTCAGTCACGGGGAGGCAAACATTCAATGTCATTATACAATTAACAACAAAGACAGACAGTACACAGACAGAGGCAAAGGCTTCCCCCTTTCCATCTCCAGCATCTGGAGGCTGTGCTCAACTTCAGTCACGGGGAGGCAAACATTTAATGTCATTATACAATTAACAACAAAGACAAGACAGTACACAGACAGAGGCAAAGGCTTCCCCCTTTCCATCTCCGGCATCTGGAGGCTGTGCTCAACTCCAGCCACGGGGAGGCAAACATTCAATGCCATTGTACAATTAACAACAAAGACAGACAGTACACAGACAGAGGCAAAGGCTTCCCCCTTTCCATCTCCGGCATCTGGAGGCTGTGCTCCACTTCAGTCACGGGGAGGCAAACATTCAATGCCATTATACAATTAACAACAAAGACAGACAGTACACAGACAGAGGCAAAGGCTTCTTTTCATCTCCGGCATCTGGAGGCTGTGCTCAACTCCAGCCACGGGGAGGCAAACATTCAATGCCATTATGCAATTAACAACAAAGACAGACAGTACACAGACAGAGGCAAAGGCTTCCCCCTTTCCATTTCCGGCATCTGGAGGCTGTGCTCAACTTCAGTCACGGGGAGGCAAACATTCAATGTCATTATACAATTAACAACAAAGACAGACAGTACACAGACAGAGGCAAAGGCTTCCCCCTTTCCATCTCCGGCATCTGGAGGCTGTGCTCAACTTCAGTCACGGGGAGGCAAACATTCAATGCCATTATACAATTAACAACAAAGACAGACAGTACACAGACAGAGGCAAAGGCTTCCCCTTTCCATCTCCGGCATCTGGAGGCTGTGCTCAACTTCAGTCACAGGGAGGAAAACATTCAATGCCATTATAAAATTAACAACAAAGACAGACAGTACACAGACAGAGACAAAGGCTTCCCCCTTTCCATCTCCGGCATCTGGAGGCTGTGCTCAACTCCAGCCATGGGGAGGTGCTCTTGTTCCATTTTTCATGCCTAGGAGCCTGTTGTCTGTGGACACCTTCTTGATCCAATTGCCGGCATGTCTGCATGGATGCCTTTTACCTCCCCGCCAAAGCGGTACTTATTGATCTACTCACATTATTGTTTTCGAACTGCTAGATAGGCAGAAGCTAGGGCTGATGCCGGGGGCTGACCTTACAACCATTGAGGATGCCTGCCATAGATGTGAGAAAAACTTCAGGAGAGAATGCATCTTGAACATGGCCATACAGCCTGAAAAACTCACAACAACCTAGTGATTCCAGCCATGAAAGCCTTCGACAACACATAGTGTTGTTACTTTTGCTGTTGTTGTTATTATTTAGTTTAACAACATCTTGAGCCTTTTCTGCCAAAGGATGTGGAAGCCTCACTAAACTATAAATCCCAGGATCGCATAGTATTGAGCCACGGCCATTAAATTGGCGATGAGGTCCCTCAAAGAGGAGCTCCAGGGGCTCCTGAAGCAGCTTCCCCTTTGGCTTTCACTCAGCATTAAGATGGCCGTATTACGCACACTAATTTTGTCAAAATAATTTAGCGCAAAAACGTGAGCATTAGATTTGAATTAATAGGGTTATTGGTACAGTTAAACCATCCTTCGCATTTGGATGTACTTTTGCTGTGCTGTATGCAAGGCTTCATTGTGCAAACGTGGTTCGCAAGTGTGCAAATGTCTTTGTGTGTGTGTCTTTGCTTTCCAGCTTGTGAAGCAGTGCAATGAAGGTGCCCACACCATGGAGCGGACGGAGCAAATGTGCACTTTGCAGAAGCAGCTGGCGTTTGGGAAAATCAAGGTGTGCTGTCGCGCGCTGGGCCTATAGCAATTGGCTTTTGAACAGGACGTGCTCTTTGTGCCCAGCGGGAAGCCGGGGTGCCTTGGATGAGAGGCCGTATGGGTTTTCCTATACAAAGTCTTTAGAAGTTTAAAAGTTTAACAAAGTTCTTTATTATTGCTTAGGCCTTCAACAAACAATCTTAGATCTTCAACAAATCAAACAAATGCTTCTTAACTTGTCTACAAACTTGCTTGGAGAACTATTTCTTTCCTTTACAAGGAAAACCCTTTTTGACCCCTCCTTGGGCAATCTGCTTTCTAGGCTATGCTAGTGTGGGCACTACTCCCGGCTCCAAATTGCTTCTTGGGTACCCAAGTAGACCTACCAGTCAAGGCTCTGAAGAATTTCCAGCTGGGGTCCTTAGGATTTTTCCCACGAAAGTTGTAGGTCTGTTTCTCCAACCCCAACAAGGGTTGTGCTGTAAAGTTGTTTCTCTTAAAAGCCTTTCTTTAGAGACTGTTCTTAAAGCTGTGAGGCTGTAAATTCCCCAGCCAGAGCTTTTGGGACTGTTTCCCCCCGGACTTTGTAAGAAACGAAGCTTCTCTACAGGTAGAAAACTTTCACGTCCTGTAGCTGAGCTTCCAACTGTGAGACTGAACTAAAACGGTTCCCTTTCCCTCCTGAACCTGGAAAAAAGGGCTGTAAAGCTGTTTCTCTTAAAAGCCTTTCTTTAGAGACTGTTCTTAAAGCTGTGAGGCTGTAAATTCCCCAGCCAGAGCTTTGGGACTGTTTCTCCCCTTTTTTGTAAGAAACAAAGCTTCTCTACAGGTAGAAAACTTTCACGTCCTGTAGCTGAGCTTCCAACTGTGAGACTGAACTAAAACGGTTCCCTTTCCCTCCTGAACCTGGAAAAAAGGGCTGTAAAGCTGTTTCTCTTAAAAGCCTTTCTTTAGAGACTGTTCTTAAAGCTGTGAGGCTGTAAATTCCCCAGCCAGAGCTTTGGGACTGTTTCTCCCCTTTTTTGTAAGAAACAAAGCTTCTCTACAGGTAGAAAACTTTCACGTCCTGTAGCTGAGCTTCCAACTGTGAGACTGAACTAAAACGGTTCCCTTTCCCTCCTGAACCTGGAAAAAAAGGGTGGAACTAAAACTTAACGATGATAGACAGGTGGCTAGCCCCATGACTGCAGCCTAGCAGGAACCATCCAACTGCAAAATGCATGGCCAGAACAAGCACATGCAAACGCTCAAAGAACAAAAGGGAGTTTGGAACTCCTGGTACAGCCGTACCAGCACACAAGGTGAGACCTTGCTGGGGTCCAAACTTTTAAAGGCTTTTCCTTAAAGCTGTGAGGCTGTAAATTCCCCAGCCAGAGCTTTGGGACTGTTTTCCCCCAGACTTTGTAAGAAACGAAGCTTCTCTACAGGTAGAAAACTTTCACGTCCTGTAGCTGAGCTTCCAACTGTGAGACTGAACTAAAACGGTTCCCTTTCCCTCCTGAACCTGGAAAAAAGGGCGGAACTAAAACTTAACTAAAACTTAACTACGTTTGGCATATCCGGGAGTCTAAATCCAGGGTGGAAACACCAGAAGTCACTTCCTATTTAAACACTTCCAATTTAAACACTTATTTACTTTCAAGCAGAGTAGAGAAGGGTTTCCAGAGGGTTGTTGAAGGCTGCAAAGCTCTCATCCTTCGATAGGCTGTGATGTTCACCTCTGGGAGTGTGTAGTATGTCGTACCTTAACGACCATGCATTGTACTCTGCTTAGCGACATATTGCCTACATATTGGAAACGTACCTTTCGTGCCTCGCCTTGTCTGCTTGCAAAACCCTTTCTTAGAAGGCTACTATGTAAATAGCTACCTAATCCATCCCTTGCTTTGTAAATAAACCCCGTCTTCTTTTAATTCGGGTTGGGTTTGTTTATTTAGGAGTTTATTGCTAATGGAAGAAACCCAGTCTTAGTTACAGGGAGCCATTTTGCTATCCTGGCTAAGGCTCTGGTTTCAGGAGGTTTTGAAACAGAGGCCAGATGGCCATCTGTCAGGGAGGGCTTTGATGGTGCTCTCCCTTCCCGGCAGAAGGGGGTTGAATGGCCTTTGGGGGTCTCTTCCAACTCCATGATGATAGATAGATAGATAGATAGATAGATAGATAGATAGATAGATAGAGGATAATAATATGATCTATTGTCGAAGACTTTCATAGCCAGAATCACTGGGTTATTGTTGTTGTTGTAGTAGTTGTAGTAGTAGTATTGGTATTAGTATTATGGAGTTGAAAGAGACTCTCAAAGGCCATCCAGTCCAACCCCCTTCTGCCAGGCAGGAAGATAGAATTACTATCATATTATTGGGTTGTTGTAGGTTTTTTCGGGCTATATGGCCATGTTCTAGAGCAGTGGTTCTCAACCTTCCTAATGCCGTGACCCCTTAATACAGTCCCTCATGTTGTGGTGACCCCCAACCATAACATTGTTTTTATTGTTACTTCATAACAGTCATTTTACTACTATTATAAATCGTAATGTAAATATCAGATATGCAAGATGTATTTTCATTCACTGGACCAAACTGGGCACAAATACCCAATGCACCCACATGTAAATGCTAGTGGGGTTGGGGGGGGGATTGATTTTGTAATTTGGGAGTTGTAGTTTCGGGGATTTATAGTTCACCTATCAAAGAGCATTCTGAACTCCATCAGCAATGGATTTGAACCTAGTTTGTCACACAGAACTCCCATGACCAACGGAAAACACTGGAAGGGTTTGGTGGGCATTGACCTTGAATTTGGGAGTTGTAGTTCACCTATATCCAGAGAGCACTGTGGATTTATGCAATGGTGGATCTGGACCAAACTTGGCACAAATACTTAATATGTGCAAATGTGGTGGAATCTGGGGGAAATAGACCTTGACTTTTGGGAGTTGTAGTTGTTGGGATTTATAGTTCATTACAATCAAAGAGCATTCTGAGCTCCACCAATGATGGAATTGAACCGAACTTGGCACACAGAACTCCCACAACAAACATAAAATACTGGAAGGGTTTGGTGGGCACTGACCTCAAGTTTTGGAGTTTTAGTTCACCTACATCCAGAGAGCACTGTGTTGTGGACTCAAACAATGATGTATCTGGACCAAACTTGGCATGAATATTCCAGGTCCCCAAATATGAACACAGATTGATTTTTTCTGGGGGGGGGGGGGGGAGACTTTGACATTTAGGAGTTGTATTTAGTGGGATTGATAGTTCACCTACAATCAAAGAGCATTCTGAACCTCACCAACGATAGAATTTGGCCAAACTTCCCACTCAGAACTTCCACGACCAACAGAAAATACTGTATTTTCTGATGGTCTTTGGCAACCCCTCTGATACCTCCTTGTGACCCCTCCAGGGGTCCCGACCCCCAGGTTGAGAAACACTGTTCTAGAGGCATTCTCTCCTGACGTTTCGCCTGCATCTATGGCAAGCATCCTCAGAGGTTGTGAGGTCTGTTGGAAGTAGGAAAAATGGGTTTATATATCTGTGGAATGACCAGGGTGGGACAAAGGACTCTTGTCTGCTGGAGCGAGGTGTGAATGTTTCAACTGACCACCTTGATTAGCATTTGATGGCCTGGTAGTGCCTGGGGCAATCTTTTGTTGAGAGGTGATTAGATGTCCCTGATTGTTTCCTCTCTGTTGTTTTGCTGTTGTAATTTTAGAGTTTTTTTTTAATACTGGTAGCCAGATTTTATTACTGATAACCAACCTGAACACAGCATATTATTGGAGAACACAGAAATGCTGGACCACTCGAACAACCACCATGTCAGACTACACAGAGAAGCCATTGAAATCCACAAGCATGTGGACAATTTCAACAGAAAGGAGGAAACCATGAAAATGAACAAAATCTGGCTACCAGTATTAAAAAAAAACTCTAAAATTACAACAGCAAAACAACAGAGAGGAAACAATCAGGCACATCTAATCACCTCTCAACAAAAGATTCCCCCAGGCACTGCCAGGCCATCAAATGCTAATCAAGGTGGTCAGTTGAAACATTCACACCTAGCTCCAACAGACAAGAGTCCTTTGTCCCACCCTGGTCATTCCACAGATATATAAACCTTTCCTAGTTCCAACAGACCTCACTACCTCTGAGGATGCTTGCCAGAAATGCAGGCAAAACATCAGGAGAAAATGCCTCTAGAACATATAGCCCAAAAAAACCTACAACAACCCAATAATATGATAGTAATTCTGTCTTCCTGCCTGGCAGAAGGGGGTTGGACTGGATGGCCTTTGAGAGTCTCTTTCAACTCCGTAATACTAATACCAATACTACTACTACTACTACTACTAATAGTAACAATAATAATAATAATAATAATAATAATAATATATTAATGCATAATAATATTAAGATTTGATTGTGTCTTCCTGCCTGGTAGAAGGGGGTTGGACTGGATGGCCTTTGGGAGTCTCTTCCAACTCCATAATACTAATACCAATACTACTACT